CTTATTTTGACTTCTAGAACTCCAGATATGGGCTAAATACTGAATAGTACTTGGGCTGGAAGACATATTCAGGCTTCTTTGTTGTTGCTACAATTTGGACTTGAAAATGACCTTTTTAGATCTTGGGCTCCATATAAAAGTTGTAGGCTTATGTCTTACCTTTCCATCCATATAAATTGGACCTAAATCTGAGATCTCCAGCTCTAGATATGACCCAATTACCAAACAGTATTTCAGTGTGCACTGCACCGGCATCTCTTTTCTAAGTTTGGTCATCTCTTTGCCCTTGCAATTTAAGTTTTTAAAGTCATCAATCAATTCTTTCATTTATATGATAGGCCTGCATTTAAAATGAACATTTACCATAAATTAAAGGTATCTTATATTATTAGATATATTATTATAAAACATGCTTTAGTTAAGGAGTTATTGATACTTCAAGTGCAAAATAATGATATAAAACCATGATAAAAATACAATTTTAAGTACTAATCAACAATCATTTCGGTTGCATGCAAAGTGTGAATACTATTCACATTTTGCAAATAATTCAATTTAATATTGAGTCGGGCTAGTGGTGGCCCAACTGGGCCCTAGAATTTTATGGGTTGATATCGACCCAACCTTTTTGGGCTAAAATTAGCCCACTGTTTCTTGGGCTTATTACCTGGCCCAGTTATCTGGGTCGGGCTAGCTCATATTTTAATAATATTTAATTAATATATGTAATATTATATTATATATTTCCTTCTTAAAAAAAAAAAATTTCAAAAATCCTTTACAAAAATTTGTGATTTTCTTAAATATTTTACTACTAATTTTGTATAATATCGGGTTGTATATTTATACTATAAAATACAAATCCGGTATTAAAATACTCGATTTTCTTCAAAATATTTCAAAAAGATTAAAAAATTTTCAAAAAATCTCAAATAAAAACTTTCAAATCAATTTCCATTTTTAAAAATTATTTTCATGCATACGACCAAATCTTAAAAATTTTCCAAGTATGTTTTCATTAAACAATTGCATATTTCTCATATTTTGAAAAGCCCAAAAAAAAAAAATATAGATGTCATAACTAGTTTATGATCATCCATTAGGGTTTGACCATAATATCAAAAATCTTTTTCCAATTTTTTTCAAATGAAAACTTTAATTTTTATGGGTGTAAAATTACACGATAAAATACACCCTCATGTATTAAAAATATAAGGTTTGTATAAATATGATGTTAAAATTCAGATTTTAGAATAGTTAGAATTTAGTCTGATAAGGTAGAGACTCTCTCATGAAAAGAGATCTGCCTTGAGTCTTAGATAGAACCAATAAATAGAAACCCAACCTAAAAAACAATCAAACAACAATGCAGCTTACCTTAGGTAGGGTGCACTGGGGGTGATGCGTCTTCTCCTTGCACAACCAATTCTTTACTCATACTGTCATAGACCATTGGTTTCTAGTGACCATAATACTAAGTGGCGACTCCTAAAAATTAATTCCAATTTTGTGCCTTTTCTTGAGAGGTACCTAAGGATATGTCATTCTTGATGGTAGAAGAACTAGCTACAAGTATATGTGAGTGACTAGCTCTGGTTTTCAATTTATGCATCTACATAATTGTATACAAATAATTATATAATTAAATTCAAATGTTAAAAAAAATTCAACAACACCTCCCCTATATTGGATACTACCTAAATTCATAAACCTGCAAATATTGACAAAAAGCCACAACCAATAGACTCGATTTATACTAATATTTTATATAACATAACATCTATACATATAACATTCATACTAATTACAAGGTAAATTCATCATTAACAACATATTCATTCATTTCAAAAAATACAAACAATAAAAAATATTCAATAATTTCAAAAAAAACTCTAGACTAACAATTAAAATTAATACAAATAATTAAACACAAATCATGCAATAATGTAGTGAAATTACTAATTATTCCAACATATTCAATTACTTATTCTAAGATAAATTCAACATTAACAATTACAATTCAACAAATTATTCAATCATTATATAAATACAAACAATAAAAAATATTCAATAATTTCAAAAACAAATCTAGATTAACATTAAAATTAATGCAAATAATTAAACACAAATCATGTAATAATGTAGTAAAATTACTAATTATTCAAACATATTCAATTACTTATTCTAAGGTAAATTCAACATTAACAATTATAATTCAACAAATTATTCAATTATTATGCGAATACAGCAATAAAATATATTCAATAAATTCAAAAAAAACCCATAGACTTTAGGAATGAAATATGCTTACCTTAAAATGTGTTTATTTCAAGACTTTATCTACATTATAAAAATACACAAAAAAAACATACCAAAAATAAAAATAGCTAAAATAAAAAAAATCCTTAAAGTAAAATGAAATAGAGGAAACACCAAAAAAAATCTTTAATTTGATGAAGATTCTTGAATGAATTCTGAAGGAAATGAGAGGGAAAAAAAATCAAAGAACAGGGAGATTAAGAATGGAGGAGATGAAAAAATGAACTGAAAGGGCGGTCACTGGGATATATAGAGTAGTTTTACTGATGGATTCATCGATAGTAAGTAAAAATAATGTTATTTTAATTTATTATGTTGGTGAAGTTTTGAAAATCCGTCGGTAATTTTTGAATTTTGCACCAATGTTTTGTATTACACTCCATATTTTTCGTTGTCCATCTGCAAAATGACACGGTCAAAGATGCATTTAATACACCGCTCTTTGGAAGTCGCACAGTTTGTCAGTGATGTTGTCGGTAATAGTGACCTGCCAACAACATACTGATGGACAGGAATCCATCGATATGGATGTTGGTGATAGTGGCATTTTAAGTAATTATTTTTCAACTTTCTGTGAAATGCCGACGACCCAAAATCTATCAGTATGGACATCGGTAATAGTGGCATTTCAAGTAATTATTTTTCAACTCTTTGTGAAATGCTGGCGGATAGAAATTTGTCGGTATGGATGTCAGTTATAGTGGCATTTCAAGTAATTATTTTGATTGCTAAACTGTTCATCGCATAAAACAATAACAACAGTGCTTAAACAATAAACTTATAAAATAAATATTTCATGTTACAAAATATATCATCCATTATATATATATATATATTTAGAATATTTTAATGTATTGATATCAAAATAATTTTTAAAAAATAAAAAATATTATTTTAATACATTCTGAGTAAAAATTATTATGAAAAGTTATCGCTATCATATTTCTAAACACAACCTTAACCTCGTAGTTGAACAAGTTTTTTATTAAAAAATAAATTAATTTTTTTAGTATTTTTAAATTATTTTAATATATTATTATCAAAACTAATTTTAAAAAAATAATTTTTTTTTTAAAATCATTTCTAAATTTACAATATATTATTATTGTCTAAAGACTATTTCAATGTTCGAACTTGTTTGATTATGCAAATAATGCAAATAATATAATTAACTATGAGAATAAACAAGAAATGAGGAATGAGATTTGTACTTCTTTTCAAAGCAGACCAGGCTGAAATAGCTGCATTCTTCTCAGCTTGTTTCTTTGTCGTTGCAGGCTCACCTGTGAAATTCATACCAGCAAGCTCCACGGTACAAGTGAAAACTGGGACATGACCAGGACCTGATCTCACAGTGGTATATGCAGGGAGGTTAAGCCCAGCTCTATGGGCAGTTTCTTGAAGCAGGTTCTTGTAAATTCCAGTCTCATCCTTCATTTGATCCCCAGAGCGAAACAATTAAGACTAGATCTAGAGGAATCAAATTGAAAATAAACTGGGAATATATCGATCCGCTAGTCACCTTAAGCAATCAAGAAAACTAACTAAAACAAACCATCTAGAAAGATTATGGCAAAGTAAACTCACAAGAACTCTTGCTGTTAGAGACCTTGCAGGACCCCTTGAAGACCAAACATTAAGGGCAACTTCAGCAGCCGCATGCTCTGCCTGTCTTAATGTAGTGCAGTAACTGGGACTTTCAAAGATCTCACCATTAAAGTCCACAGAAGCTTTGAATCTTGGCGCACGATCAGGTCCTTCTCCAATGCAAGCACACGCAGAAAGGTTGAAACAACTTCTTTGTGCAAGTTCTTGCAGTTGGTTCTTGAACAACCCAAACTGAGTCACTTGAATGCAAATTCAAGTTATGGATATCCTCAATTATGTTCTTTCAAAGCCTTACTGGCACCCCCAAGTTGATCATGAGATGCTGTGCTTAATCTAAACACTATCCAGAAGCAAAGATATTGTCCGGAAACTCTTTAATTATATTGAAAGGAAAAACTGTATTCGGAAAACGGGAAATGTACAGCGAAAGCTCACTCCAAATACAACGATATGATCTCAACCCTTTACAGTACTAGTGAATTACAATGTCGAAGCCCTCTCTCTATATATAAGCGGTTGTTGATGCTGCAGATATATACTTATAAAGGCCTATCCCGTCGTCAAGATTTGTGGTCATAGACTCATCCATCGAAGTGGTTTCATCTTTACTGATCAGCCCAGAAAAGCTCAATATATATAGTTTGATCAAAGAGGCTCAATGCAGAGCATGATCGACTAGTTCCGAGTTGTTGAGGTTGTTTTCCTAACCTTGATTGTGAATTGTTCTCCACCAGCTTGATCCTTCTCCCTATCCAAGGCAATTTCTATGACGTCGCCGACCTTGAGATGCTTCGACCGAACAAATACAAACCAATCCCCAGAAAGGGCTGGTTTCGAACCCCCTCCTGGTGGGACTCTACAACGAAATGTCCACACTTGGCCATCCTCGTCTTTAAACTTCAAATAAGCTTCATGGCCTCTCGGGAAATCTTTTATACAGTTTTCTGAGAGCAGTAGCCTTCTCTCAATATCAATGTCGTTGAGTTTCTTGGTGAAGTTTTTTTCCATTGCTTATCTCGAAGAAGTAGATGAGCAATTGATGAGGCAACTTGCTCTTTGCAAGAGGATTTATATAGTGCCGCAGCCTACAAAACTGTGAAAAGGAAGCGAGCGTTAAGGTCCTTGTTCTAATAAGTGAGTGGTGGGTCCACAGACAGAAAGAAAAGCCAGAATCATGTCATCGATGTTCATCTTTCTGTCTGATTGTGAATTGTGATCGAAATAAAAGAAAAGAAAAGAAATAATCAACATTCGTTTGATTGGTTATTTTAAAGGTCCACAAAAGAAGCATGATTAAAGGTCCCATGTTTCTGCAAGATCATCTAACATCACTATCATTTCTTCGTACGTATCGCACGATCATCTAACGAGTTCTTGGACTCCACTAAAAGTTGTCTCTCTCCACACACTGACTGAATAGCTTAGCATTCACTGAAAGTCGTTTTTTAAAATATTTATTATTTTAAAATATTGTTTTTAGAATTAATTTGACATAAACATATATAAACAGTTTAAAAACATGAAAAAATAAAAAATAATTTAAAACGTATTTTAAAAATACAATGTAAATATAAATAAATTATGATATCTATAGCTAGGCCATGTTAGACATGAATTGTACCTCATGAATAGATTGTATATGATGAGAGGTTTGAAAAAAAAAAATAATCAAGAATGCTTCACCATGAATTCTAATTATATATAAAATCTAACTAAATGATATGAATAGTTAAATAAAAAAGAATGGTTTGAAAGTTTGATAGGACGGAGTGACTTGCACCACAAAATCAAAGGTGGTTCGTAGAAAGCAGGTTCGCATCCCCAATATAGAGAAAACATTAGTGAGCCATCCCCCACGTGAAGAAGAAAAAACATAAATAATGCATTCTAGCGCTTGGCCTAGCGGTGGAAGGAAATATAGATGTTTGTCACCCCCACGGTGTCTTATTTGTAAAATCAAAGGTGGTTCGTAGAAAGCAGGTCCGCATTCCCAAGATAGAGAAAACATTACTGAGCCATCCCCTATGTGGAGAAGAAAAAACACAAATAATGCATTTCGGCGTTTGGTCTAACCGTGGAAGGAGCTTGTTTCCTTTCATTATCATGGATTTGAGCCCTAACGTGCATGTCTGTCATCTCCGTAGTGCCTTACCTATCTACTAAAGGGTTTGCAGGGTATTCAATAGGTCGTGGGAATTAGTCGTGGTGCGCGCAAGCTGACCCGAACACCCCACATAAATAAAAAAAAGAAAAAGAAAAAACACAAATAAAGAATGAAAGAAAAACCAAAGGTTGGCTAGGTCTGAAAAAGAAGAATCATGTTTCAGATTTTTTATTTTTAATAAATAATGTTGATCCAAAGGGCCCCATGAAAATAGTATTTCACTTGATTGTGTTTATGGAATTAATTTATTAAATCTAGTTTTTTATTTAATCAAATGATATTAAAAATAAAAATATATATTAAATAAAACAAATAAAATAAAAATAAAAAATATTATGAAAGGTTACACATATTAAAAATAATTATCTGAAAATATATATTTTTTATTTTAAAAAATAAAGTTTTTTTATAAAACATTTTATAGATAAATCAAAATAATCTTTTCAAAAAATAAATATGCACAACATTATTAAACATCAATCTCTATTCAGAAAAGATATATATATATATATATATATATATATAGTTTAATTGTTGCGGCTTTACTCGTAAAAATAGTTTAATTTTTGCGGTTTTACTCGTAAAACCCACAACCCGAACTATGAACTTGATTAGGTATAATATTTTTTTTTAATTTACATTTAACTCAAAATAGGGGGCCAAAAAGAACTAGCCCATTCTTATTTTTTTGAAAAAAGACAAGCACACATCGTATATAAGTCCATATTCTGACTACCATTATAGTGACTAAAAAATCAAATAACTAGTTTTTTTCCCCAAAAGACTTAATTTTCAAGTTATTTTAACCCAAAAAATCCTAATGAGCACCCTTATAATACTCATAAAACAATTCCATCAACTTCAAATACCAAAAAAAAATAAATCCAAAAACTCAAAATTAAATTCAGTTAGTTTTGACTCTCAAATCTCATGTATGGTTTTTCATGTAACATTAAGGCTCTAAACAACTACTATGAAGTCCCTCTCATCTTATGGAATTCGTGAAAACCAATGAAACCTATTTTGATGGGTGAAAATGAAATGATTGATGACTTTCTATTTCAGCGTTAAACATTTTATAGATAAATCAAAATAATCTTTTCAAAAAATAAATATGCACAACATTATTAAACATCAATCTCTATTCAGAAAAGATATATATATATATATATATATATATATAGTTTAATTGTTGCGGCTTTACTCGTAAAACCCACAACCCAAACTATGAACTTAATTAGGTATAATATTTTTTTTAATTTACATTTAACTCAAAAAAGGGGGCCAAAAAGAACTAGCCCATTCTTATTTTTTTGAAAAAAGACAAGTACACATCGTCTATAAACCCATATTCTGACTACAATTATAGTGATTAAAAAATTAAGTAACTAGTTTTTTTCCCAAAAAGACTTAATTTTCAAGTTATTTTAACCCAAAAAATCCTAATGAGCACCCTTATAATACTCATAAAACAATTCCATCAACTTCAAATACCAAAAAAAAATAAATCCAAAAACTCAAAATTAAATTCAGTTAGTTTTGACTCTCAAATCTCATGTATGGTTTTTCATGTAACATTAAGGCTCTAAACAACTACTATGAAGTCCCTCTCATCTTATGGAATTCGTGAAAACCAATGAAACCTATTTTGATAGGTAAAAATGAAATGATTGATGACTTTCTATTTCAGCATTGAAATCCAACAAGCCCTCTCTTACAAACCATTTCATCAACTCTAAATGTCTAAAAACTAGTTTAAAAATTTAAAATCAAATTGATTTACTTTTGATTGTCTTGGCGAAACCTGTAGACACTGATAAAATCCATTTTGGTGCCCAAAAACGGAGTGAATGATGACTTTCTCTCTCATCACTAGAATTCAGTAATCATTATCTCTAACTAGGGATTAAAAAATTACAAAAATAAAATTCTATATCAAAATTAATTTCTTAAAATCTAAGAAGATCTAAATTGTATATATTGTGTTATTTTTAAAGATCGAGGATCTAAATGTATTTTTCATGTAATCTCTAGCATGCCACTTATTTTTAGTGTTTTTTTTTGTTTTCTTTCTTTTAATTTTACTATTAAATTGGAATTCAAATGTAATTGACTTTCAATTAGAATTAAATCTTATAAAATAAAACTTTAAAAACCAAAATAAATTATTAAAAAATATACATGTGTCCACAATGTCGGCTGATTTTAGAACCATCTAAATTTCTCATGTTTTAAAGATTAAGCTTTTCTATCTAGTATTTCCTTTTATTTTAATGTTAATTTTGAATTTTATACTGTTTTTAATTTTTTTTAGCTCGTGATTGATTATGAAAAACTAACCGAAATCTTTTTCTTTGTTCTTTTAGTTATTTGAAACTCAATAATCAATTTTCAAAAACACAGATTTGTGAGTTTTTCTTATAGTTTATTGCTGTTTTCTTTTTCTAGGATTTGTGTGTTCAATAAACCTAGTTCCTTCATGAAGCTAGTTTAGGTGCTACGGGGCATATGAAAAGCAAATAGCCAGCTAATAAACTTATAATGGGCTAAAACTAGACTTGAGAGAAGGCCACCGTATAAGACCAATTATGGGCTTCTTTTATTAGGTAAAAAAAAAATAAAAAATCTATGCCCCCTCAATAGCCATAAAAAACAACAAAACAAATCTACGGGCGTAAGTTTCAGACTCTTTAATGCTTGCTGGGCTGGGCATGAGAAGATACAATGAAAAAAGTCTTTCATGATCACTTATAGAGGCCTGTTGATGCAATCAGACTTGCGAAAACTGAAGTTCCCGAGTATTTATATTGTACTGGTGAAACAAATTTAGGTTTTAAAAATAATTGGACGTGATAGACTAGACTAGTGACTAATAAATATTATAAAAAAATTTAATTATTGGATTGATCTTAAATTTTTACACGAAGTTCCTGAGATCTGTTTCAATTAGAAATATGCTTTGTTGATCTTCCAATGTTTGGATCCCCTGAAACTAGGTTCATAAGATATTGTTTGAGTTAGTTTTATTATTTTTTCTTGATATTCTTTTTGAATTTTTTGCTTTATTTTGGATTTTATTTAATTTTTCTTTATCTTTTCAGATTATGATTTTATTTCCCAAGTAGGTTTTTTAGCATATTTAAATGTTTTAGAAATCTCTTTGAGAGGCAAACATCATGATGCATTATATCAAAATAATAAATTGTGAATATAGAGTTTAGGTTTGCAACCAGCTCGCTCAATAAATCTATTTTCTTTGTGTTTGTTTGCTGTCTTTCTAGTTTATGCCTGCATCACCAACTGGCCCCATCAGACTAGTAGAATATGGGAGAAAATGGGTTTTTGAAGGATAAGATAAATTGTTGTGTTCAACAGTTGCTGTTTTTTATTTTTATTGTCTGAACATGTATACTTGTTATATATATATAAAACTCTAATGAATTTTATATAATAGATTTTAATATAATAAACACACAAGAATAATACAAAGATAACAAAGAATAGTGAATCATAATGCTTCAATCCAGAGGACCCATCTACATTTTATTTAAAAGCACCTCATGGAGGCCTACTGGATTGGTTAATTTGCCAGCAGTTATGCACATTGCTCCAGCATCGAATTTCTTCAGAGCTAAGAATATGATCCATGCCAAGATACATGGAGTCGTAATCCTGAGCTGTCATCCATTTTGCAGACCTTCAGCATCCTTCGAGTTATGCACTCGCTCCTTAATTTAAAGAAAAACTATATCAAAACAGGAAGATCTATGTCCCTTTTGTAAATCTGGTTCAGAAACAGTATGCTCTTTTCAATGTTCAGTTTATAGGAATCTCTGGAATAAAATAGCAAATTGGTGGGGGTCTTTCATAGTGCATTCCACATTCATTGGACGATCTATTCTACAGTAAAAAGGCGTGGTTTATGGTGAATTTCAACAAAGAGTGCAACGAGGATTCTTGTATGGAATAATCTAGCTTATTTGGCAAGTTAAGAACAAATTTATCTTGAGAAAATCAACCTGGATTGAGATTATGTTCTCTGTCTATTCTTTCACAAAGCAACAGCTAGGATCCATTCGTTGAACAATAGACTCAGCTACACTAGCATGGAAAAGTTAAGGAATAAGGAGTGTGTTTTTGCTTGGGGTAATAAATATATTTTTTCGACTTTTATCAAGAAAGTTTGTTCAAAAAACTTGGTTGATCCCCACCATTTCAAGATACGAACACAAAATATTCCATGCAACTCAGCATCCCAGGAGACGTTGCGGTACTTTTTCTTGCTCAACAATACAAAATGTACAGAAGTTTGCTGCAGCAGTGACGATTCCTCTTTGGAAAACGAAATCTCTTTTGCTAGATCTCCCTAGTGCTGCCATCTATAAGGGAGTTTCTACCTTTAGAGGCTCCAAATAACGCCTCTCGTTTGATTGAATGGAGCTCTCTGCAGCCAGCGAAGAATTTGCAGCAATATTTCACCGAGTAGAAAGACACCTTTAAGGTCATGAACCCAAGCCAATTATCCAGCTATTCAGAGGAATTTGAGCAGAGGCCAGCAGCTGAAGTAGATCAGCTTCCTCCTACAGTTCCTCTTGCATAAGAGACCTCTAAATTAAATTTCCAACTCCAAATTTCATGTGCAAGATTGATATTCATGTGCTACTCTGAACAAGTTGGGGTAAACTTCCTTCAAGGCTTCATTACCGATCCAAAAATCATGACAAAATTAACTAAAATTTATTCCCATCACCAATCTTAGACCTCAAGCTACTCGAAGCATGAGAGCATTCATCAAAACTAGAATATGCAGACACAAAAGCTATCCAAATTGGAGTAAAATTGAACAGCTTAGCAGTTCGTTTCTACTTTTGAAGGATAGGAATTATGCCAACCCGAACCACCACCATCTCGCAGAATCCATATCCATTTAAAAAGGAGAGTTATGTTCTTTACCATGATGGACCCACATGTGTCATCAGGGGCGGAGGCAGAATAATTTGCAAGGATGGTTAAAGCTAAAATAATTTGCTAGGGGTCCAAACTTAAAATTTTTGTTTCCTGTAAGGGCTACACATGAGAAAATTTTAATTTTTTTTTCAGGCACGTGTCCCTCCTGTTATACCTCTCTTAACTTTCGGACATATATATATTTTGTTTTTTGGAAAAGTCGAGCACTATTACCAAGTGTGGCATATATAAAAATTAGGAAAATACAATTTTTAAAATTTTTTATATTTTCATATTATTTTGATGTATTAATATTAAAATAATTTTAAAAAATAATAATAAAATATTATTTTATTGTATTTCTAAGTTAAAATCAACTATTATCATATTTTCAAATACTCCCTAAATATATTTTTAATTATTAACAATTTTTTTTTACTTTTCCCTTGGAAAACTGAAAAATTTATTCATTAGTGAAAAATAAAGATGAAATTTTTCATTAAAAAAATAAAAAAATTCATAAAAATTACAAACATATTTTATGAAAAAATCAAAACCATGATTTATAACAGTGATCTTAATATTCTTGCATTTGTGATAATGTAATTATAGAAAATTAATTTTTACTCCTTTTGAATATTGTATTTGAATAATAATAAGCTATATTTCACTCTTTATTTTTTAAATTGAAGTGTTAAGTAATTTACTTTTGAATAGCCCCTAGCCCTCCACGCCATAAGAATCTTCTCTAGAGGCATTTATCTATCACCTTTAGAATTCTAAATAGGGATAGAGAATAAATCTTTAGGATAAAGATTCTGCTGGCCGCAGATAAGACGCTACTCTTTCTAAAATTGCAGTCGGAATCGCTGCTGACTTTTGGCCGGAATCAAAACCTTTGATGCACTGATTCACAAGCTTCATGAGCATAAGGATTCTAAAAGGTATTTGATATTTTCTTATTGGATGAATGAACTATTTATATAGCTTTATATCATAGCCTAAAAAGGATTCTAATATGTAATTAAAAAAAATAACAACACTAATAATAATAAAAATTATCCTAATCTAAGACATAATCTAAGATAAATTATTATTATTATTATACTCAGAAACTATTAAAATCTCTGTTTCAGACTACATATTCATTCTATTGTAACACGAAAACTTTGTTCATTTCAATTCAATTTGAAGTTTAAAAAAGCTTTAACTAACAAAAATATGAAAAAACTTATGAAAATAACTTCTATGTTACTAAACTAAACCGGTACTTATTATTTTCTTAATTATATTTTACTCACTAATTTTTTTTGTTAAATTGATATATTTTTTCTTTTCTTATGAATTATTTTATTCATAAAAAAATTTTCAATACAAAAACAATATGTGAAATGGTTAAAAATTATAAAATGACCATAAACTAGCAAAATCATGGAAAAAAGTAAATATATTTTCTGATAATTTTGATATTTTTTTGCATTTTTTAATTTTTTCTAAATATATTGAAAACATGGGTAAAAAATGAGTGATGAGAAATGGTATTTTATTCTTATCCAAAATAGAACCAACACCAATTCATTTTTGAGGATAGATCAACATTTTCGGGCAAGGAGAAGAATAAGAAACACCTATGTGAAAATTCCTTTATGAAATAGAATTCATTGACACCAATTCTAATTATTTGTGGCTAGAATTGTCATCAACAACTACTTTTTTTCTCTTCGCTAGAATTCAATGATCCCCCTTTCTCATCTCATATAAAAGGATAAAAAAATGAGAGAAATAAATTTTAGTATCAAAATTGAAGTTTTAAAAACTAAAGGGACTGATCACTTATAAAGCGAAAGTTATAAAAGATCAAAATAAACTTTTTATATGAAATTCAAATTTGCTATTTGTTTCACTCATTCTTTTCACTTTAATCCTCTATCTTTCAATTCAATCATTTCTTATAAAAATGCAATTGAATGCTAATTAATTGGGCTTAAAAGTGCTCGATTGTGTAAAAAAAAGTTTTGGGATTGAATTGAAAATTTATGAAAAATTCACAATTCCAATCTATAATGATTTACTAAAGAGTGAACAATAAATTATCAACATAGAAAACTCTACACGACTTAGTTTCTATCGATATCATCTTTTTTTTAGCTATATCATCAAATTTAAAATAGACTACCAATAATCATGTTTATAGAAAAAGTTCTCCAAATAACTATTTTTAATTATAAGTTCAATTCTATCCGCAAGAGATCATGTCATTTTGGTATATGAATATAGATTCAATGCTGACCTACTTTTACTTGAAGAATGAGCAAATGAAGAAATCACATATCCATAAGGTCACATGACCATGATAAATCCTTTTTAGGATGACTTGTAATGTTCTCTCGGGGAACCTAGAATTATTCCATTACAATTAAAACTCAGCTGAAAAAAGTTAATCAATTCGGTCATGAGCAATTCATATATTTTCAATTGGGTCCTTATTTCCATATTCCTAAACCTGTTTTCTTACTTTTAAATGGTACTGTTTCAAGGCATAACCTATGCATATTAGATTAAAAACATTAACATATATTTAGAAAAAAAATGCAATTGAGAAACATATCAATATTTCATGACCTAATTGATAAGTAATTCCCTTTGGGATCCCATAAAAAATGTTTGTGAGTATATAATAAATAATGTCTCCTCAATGAGCTTCGCCACCTTCCATTTGAAATTGTTAAAAAACATATGTTGAAATAATTAGATTACACATATACATGGTCTTTTAACAAGTTCATCCATTTAGACTTGTATACAATCCTCTTCCACTATTAAAGAAACTACATGTTTTAGTATTATTACCAATTTACCAACTTAATCTAGCTATTTGGTGAAAAGATATATATATACACATTTGTTTTTGGATAATAGTCAAGGTTTTATTCATGGTGAAAAGATATGTTGTGCATGTTATCATTCAAGGTTTTTTTTTTTTTTTTAAAAAAAAACTAAGAAGTTTTTTTAAATAAATTAGTTAACGAGTAAAGAATTTTTTTTAAATAAATTAGTTAACGAGTAAATTGTCTATTTAAACCCTCCAGAAAAAAAAGAAAGTAAAACTGGCTTCAAAATCCCTTTATCATATATAATTTTTTTTCCCTTTCAAACATGTATACAAAATTGCCTAGACGTAATTAATTTGAACTCAGATAAACGTTCATCTAGCCTTAATTCTAACCAAATCAAATTTAAAGTAAAATAAGGACGGTAATCTAATTAAAGCTGGAAACTTGGTCATCATTATAGTGGAAAATAAAAATGATGTGAAATTGCATGTCTATTTCAACGTAAAGAACAAGTATAAGAAAGACCAAGTCTAAATTAGAGTTGACGTCTCTCAACTTTGTAGCCCATTAATATTTTATACCAAGTTTGACATTTTCTTTGTCCTTCAAGCACGAACCGCGTCGAATTTCTATGCTTTAGAAGCATTCAATCCAAGCAAAAATGCATTCCTCGAATTTTCCCAGAAAAGAAACTTGGATTCTTGCATGCACATAATCGTAACACAAACAGCCTGGTGGATAAGTGTTTGGATGCATTAGCCAATAGTCTCTTGACTTTCCAGGAGATTGGGAATTTCCACGTTCTTTTGCGTGAAGAAGTGACCGCATTTTCTAAGCACATTAATGGCAGAATCGTGATTGCATCTATGTTCCCTATTTATAGAACATGTTGAAGAGTGAAGTGAGCAACTTCAGCAGCATCTCATATTTAGCTACGAGCACAGATTTCTCAAAGCTGAGCTCGAGTTAAGCATCTTTATCTGTTTTTCTTTTGTGCCAAGCAATGACAACACTCTTTTCAAAGCGGCTAACCAAGGCCGATATCGAGAATGGCTTGTCTATTCCTGCCTGCACTCTTGGTCCCTTACCTTTCCAAGAAGGTCATTCGATGAACATGCATGTCCACGATGGTAATGGCCAGGAATGGATCTTCTCTTGCTCCATCAAGGGAAACGAGAGTGTAGGACGTTTTCTTTCCGTGGGGTGGATACAGTTTGTTCGTGAAAGGAATCTTCAAGTGGATGATAATGTGACCATTCTTGAGGAAGTCATGAAAAACCGAGCTACGGGAACATGGATCAAAATCGAAGTGAAAAGGAAAATCAGATTGTTTGGAAAGGATATTTGGGCTGATGTCAAATGATTTGGAGTGGTCACACCGCATGCTCCACCACTCCATATTGGTGATTTATTCTTACTAATGAAGTATTAATTAGTTTCGTGAATAAATTCATTCGGATGAAAGATTGATATCTCAAAATCAAGTTGTAATATTGTGCGGAATTTGATTTTCGTATACATGAATTAGATACAATGAAAGACAATTGCCACTACGTTCGCTTTATTTGTAACAATCTCGATTAGCAACAAACCATTGAATAAAGAGGGTGTGAATTTTCACTTGCGTTTTTTTTTTGTTTTTTTAATGAAAATAGATGAATATATAAACAAAAACTAATGCAATCAAAATATGAAATTTGAGATTGAAAGAAAATAGTTTGATAGATAGAAACACATGATGTCCTATAAAAAACAAATAATTTCTTGAATAGTTAAACATATTCAGATTACTGTTTTTTTTATTAGTTTAACTTCTTAATTACCTAAGATTTTAGATGTATAAATAAGTTTATAATTAAAATACTTAATAAGATTGCATAAACTCCTACTACACTGATTTTCTTCCGAAGTTGACAAGAAGAGGCATAGAAAACCTTCACGGTCCCTTAAGACTCCTCCAACTCTTTAATGCATTTTGAAGATTTTTTTAAAATAGTAGATGGTTGGGAACTTGTAGATCGGTTAAATCCGCAGAAGTACTTTTTCTGTTTAGAATATATTTTTCTTTGATTAATTTAATTTTTTGATTGTTTAGGATTTTAATAAGCTTATAATCAAAAGCTTAAAGTATAAGTGTAAAGAGGAATATATAAGAGGAAAATACCCAATAAGATTATCTTTCTCTCGAATCAACTTTTTAGTTTTTAGTTTTGTTTATTACATCGCTGTACACAAACTTCTACCATACATATTTTCTTTTAACAGTTGGTGACGAGAAGATTCAAAAAAACCTTCACAGTCCCTTAAGACTCCCCCAACTATTTAATGCTTTTGAGGTTTTTTCCAAATAGTAGTAGGTTTAATTCTAACATGGTTGATGCACCTCTTGATTTGGATTGGATCATCACCACCTAAGTAGAGTATACAAAATATATATCTAATTATCTAAGTGGTGGTCCAGTAATAAAAGTTTGAAATTAAAAAATTTGCTTCTCATATAGTTTTAGGTTCGAATTCTGTGATTACTTATATAATAACTATTAGAGATTTATATGGTCGTTAACTTCAAATTACTACTGCTACTACGATTACTACTACTACTACTATAATAAAAAAATAAAGTGTCCATCAACATAACAAGGCTGTGAGACACCATTGTGTTAGGGAAACAGTTTTGTATGATTTTTTTTACAAAATTTTCTCTTATTAAAACTTTCTTTCCTCGTTTATGTATATATATATATATATATTCATATACACATACATATATATCTATATATTCATATATATATATATATATGCATGTATGTATGTATGTATTAGGGGGCCAGGCCGGTGCTTGCCCCTTCCTTCCGCCCCTGCATCCACGTAAGCCTGCATTTCATTTACACATTGTCTCACATCAGTGAACCTAAATGCATTCTTCTTCCATTTCAACAAAGCATCTAGCGCAAACTCATAGGCTCATCAAATAAACTGAACATATGATTTCTATAAACCAATCAGTCTATCTAGAAAAGAGAGACAAGTAACCAATGAACAACAAATAATCACAGCCATGCTACCAGTTCACCATACCTACTTACACCTTGTTTTGCAAGATTATCTGCCATGTGATTAGCTTCTTGCAGAGTGTAAATATAAGTTACAGGACCCAGACATGATGAGAAACGTGGAGCAAGGGTTAAGAGATTCTGGTAAAACCATGTTCTGATAGACTTCTTTGTCATTCAATTGACTGCATTTCCAGAATCTGATCCCACAACCACTTCCTTTCCAAACATATCTTCCTTCGATGTAGATAACTCCAAGGCTTTAACAACAGCTAATAATAATTATGTTTCATTAGAATCTTTTATTCCAATAGGGATTGAAAAGAGCCCTAACGCCAATCCTTTATGATCAGGTAGAAAACATCCAATACCATTAGGGCCTGCTTACCAAGAGAAGAGCCATCCACATTCCATTTCAAAAACAAAGGTTCTGGAGCTGACCACAGAAACTAACGGTCGTGACTTCCTAACATTGGACCATTTTATCAAATCATCTGTACACATAAGCAAGTCAAGAGCACAATAAGGGAAGTCAGGAAATAAAGCCTTGAACCATATAACAGAAAAACTGTCTCGTAATAAATACTTTCCTCTGTTGAAGAACTCTATTAACAGGGATTGAAAAAAATAATGAACATGCTTTTTTCTTTTTTGAAGAACTCTATTAAGAACGACTTTCCTCTGTTGAAGCAAACTCAGCATACTTCCAAGACAGCACCGAGGGAGCCCCTACCCATCAAATGAACGTAGTCCATATATTCCATAGTTTTTGAAAACGTAGAAGGAGACATAAGCAATATAGTTGATACATGAATCTCCAGCAAGCAAGACCGAATCAATACAAGATGGATCAACGATGATCAATTGAAATTTGCCACGCACACAAAAAATCCCAGAGCTTGGTTAAACCATGTGTACATACATTACATATACAGGGACCTCAATTTAGAAGGAGTACATAATTTCAACGCGACTGAAGCAAGCGATAAAAAAGTGTCATACATTAAATTAAATAGATAATGGTAGAGAGCACAGGGGCCGCAAGATAAAGGGGATGCATAATTTAATAAGGTAGCCTAAAGACATCACCACTTCACTAGTAATCAGAACATGTTAGAGTCTATAGGGGAATCTTTTTGGATGTTAAAATTTTGTGAGAATAAAACCAAATTGAATTAGTTCTAATTTTATTATAGCCACAATTAAATTCTTTTTATTGGTCCACGAGTAAATAAAATTAATGAATAAATTAAGGTGCCGTTTTTGCATGAAGTATTTTTAAGGATGCAAAATATTTTACATACAAAATATTTTGTGTAATAACCCAATTTTGAAAATTTAAAAATAATAATTAACAAATAAAAATAAAATAAATAATAATAATAAATAAAGAATAAATAATTTAAAATTTTTAAAATATAACCAGATTAATCAGGCATGTATTTTTATTAAAATCAACAGGTGGGTATAAATTGAGGTTTTTGTTGAAGAAACATGTTAAAGAAGTTTTAAAATTTGTGTCTTTTCATCGGATATTAGAAATACAACTTATGTATAAGTTAATAATTCTTGACCTTGAGCAAATTAAAATATTAAATTCTTCTTTATTCTTTTCAATTTTATCATAAATAAAAAAAAATCTATAAAACAAATACAAACATGCATGTACAGCTTCTCCATATTTTCTTTTATTTTTTCTTTTCTTTTCCTTTTTTTTGGTACATCCACACTACAAATTATAAAAAAATTTAAAAAAACTAAACAAAAATTATACTAAATAATTTAAAATTTTCAAAAAACAGCCCCTAAAACTCCAGAAATCGCAGGGAAGTCTTTTTGCAACTGCAGGAATAGTGGCGGGGGGGGGGGGGGGTCAGAGATTCACGGGTAAGAGACTAATTGTAGTTAGGGAAGGTATTAACATCCCTAACGCACCCTACCCAAGGTAACCTGCTTCGTGACTTTGATGTGTTAAAGAAGTTTTAAAATTTGCGTCTTTTCATCGGATATTAGAAATACAACTTATGTATAAGTTAATAATTCTTGACCTTGAGCAAATCAAAATATTAAATTCTTCTTTATTCTTTTCAATTTTATCATAAATAAAAAAAAATCCATAAAACAAATACAAACATGCATGTACAGCTTCTCTATATTTTCTTTTATTTTTTCTTTTCTTTTCCTTTTTTTTGGTACATCCACACTACAAATTATAAAAAAATTTAAAAAAACTAAACAAAAATTATACTAAATAATTTAAAATTTTCAAAAAACATCCCCTAAAACTCCAGAAATCACAAGGAAGTCCTTTTGCAACTGCAGGAATAGTGGCGGCGTGTTGTTCCACGTGCCACCACTAATGGAAGCGCGTGCATTCACACGTCGCCGCCATCAAAGGTGGCAAAATCGATGGATTGGGGCCTGATTAGTACTTAAAAATGCATTTTGTCAAGATTTTATATCATCATTTTGCACTTGAAGTATCAATAACTCGTTAACTAAAGCATGTTTTATAATAATATATCTAATAATATAAGATACCTTTAATTTGAATGCTTAGCACTGTCAGATGAAGAACCTTTTTGACCAACTAGATTACTGCCAGATTCTGTTCTTTAAAATGATTTTATCTCACTTTGACTCCTCCATCAAAGTTGTAGTTCTAGACGCGTACATGATTTTGAGTTTTTGAATCGCTTGATTTCGATATCAGAAGCTCAAGATATTCATGTTTGAATATCTAACGTAAAGGTAGAAAATTCTACTATAAGAAGGACATTGACCCGAGTCTACACTAAAAAAACTCTATTTTGGCCTAGTTTTTGTGATTTTTGTTCTTAGTCATATCAGGATTCTCGGCATTCATCAGTTTTTGAGTTAGACCCGAAAATCCCTTTAGACCAATCAAATCACTACTATATTCTGTTTTGTAAAAGGATTTTATCTCACATTGATTCCTTCATCAAAGTTATAGTCCTATATGCATAGATGAATTTGAACTTTTGAATCACTTGATTTTGATATCAGAGGCTCAAGATGTTCTTGTTTGAATATCTAACATGAAGGTAGAGAATTCTACCGCGAGAAGGATATTGACCCGAGTTTGCACTAAAAAAATCTCTATTTTTGGCCTAGTTTTTATGATTTTTATTCTTAGTTCATACTCTCAGTCATATCAGGATTCTCAACATTCGTTAGTTTTTGAGTTAGACCTGGAAATCCCTTTTGACCAACCAAATTACTACTAGATTCTGTTCTGTAAAAAGTTTTTATCTCACTTCGACTCCATCAAAGTTTAAGTCCTAGACGT